CCCTCGCTTTGACAACGGGGGGGGAGAGGCCGGGAAAAAGGGGCCTTTGGGAGCCGTGAGGATTCGAACCCCCCCTCTCTCCTCTCTTGCTCCCTACAGATTCCTTTGTGAACAGCCAGGAGTGGACGCTAAGTCGTTCCGTCCCGGAGCTCAAAGTCGTAAGTAGAAGCGGGGAGGGGTGTTTCCCTCCCCTCGACCCTTTTTCGGGAGGGGGAGGGGAGGGGAGGGGTCTCGGGGTGGCCTCCCTTTGGGGGGGCGGGGGGCAAATGCTTCCGAACCCCCCCATTTCCAACAAACCTCATGGGAAGAACAAGGGAGCGGGACCTAAGGGGTCATTTAGTCCAACCCCGAGTAGGAAAGAAGGAGGAGGAAGAGGAGGAGGAGGGAAGAAAAAGAGGGAGGGAGGGGGGGTGGCATCCCTTCCTCAATCAGCCTTCGGGGCGGGGGACAAGAGTGGGTGGGGTGGGATGGGAGCAACCAATAGTGCTTGGGCGGAGGGAGCGGGTTGGACTAGATGACCGATGGGGGTCCCTTCCTCCTCTTCTCTCTTGTATTGAGTGCCAGAGTTAAGCCAGCATTCGGGGCTTGTATGTTGGCCAGGCAGTAACGCCGAGGGGGAAAGTGGGGGTTGTGGGGGGAGGAGGTCAGGCCCCTTCCCCCCCCCACCAGGAATGGGACCTCGGAGATCATCCAGCTTGTCTTGAACGGTTAGGGAACGGGGAAGGGGGGAGAATGGTGGCGGCTTTGGCTGTATCATACAGGGGGGGTAAAGGGCAGGGAGAAAGGGGGGTTTGCCCAGGGCTGAGGGGCCCCCAGAAGTGGGACCGTCTGGATGTCCACAGGATACACCCCACCCACCCATTCCCGATCCACACAGCGGCCCAAATCGGTGCGAAAGGACCGGGGATGCCATCTTGGGCTTTAGCGGACGGTTGGGGGAACCCTGCGGTATCCACCCATTGGCTGGTGTTTCCCCTCCCGCTTCCGGGGCTCAGCTGAAGAACCTCTGGGTGCCCCCCTGCCCCGTTGAGGGCTAGAATCCCACCCCCCCGAAGCCGCCGTTCTCCGAAATCTGGGCCTTCCTGGGAGGTTTTTCCTCCCCCCTTTTTTTCCGGCCGCCGCTAAGAGGGGCGGGGGACGCGCGAAAAGTCCTGGTTTCTTCTCAGACCTCCCCCTTCCTCTCGCAGGGGATTGTGGGTAACCTGTCCAGCGGGAAGTCGGCCTTGGTGCACCGCTATCTCACCGGCACCTACGTGCAGGAGGAGTCCCCGGAAGGTCAGTGACGGCACCCGCGGGGCGGGCGGGGCAGGGGGAAATCGGGAATGCCCCCCGGCCCTTGGGGGGGGGGTCAAACATGAGGCTTGCCGAGGAGGGACGCGGCGACGAGTCGGACGAGACGCCAAACACGGTGCTGACAAGGAAGGACCCAGCATCTCGGATGACTCGCCGCAGCGTCCTTCCTCGTCAGAACCGTGTTTGGCATCTTGGGCGACTCGTCAGCGAGTCACCCGTCAGCGAGTCGCCTGAGACACCAAACATGGCGCTGCCGTTTTGCGCGGGTTCGGTGTGGGGAGGAGAGGCGGGAAAAGTCTCGAGTTGCCCGTCTGTCCTCGTCCGTCTCCCCAACCCGGGCGGAGAGGGGGGTCCCCTAAATTCTCTCTCCGTCCACCTCCTCCTCCTCCTCGTGGCGCTGTGTTGCCGGCAAACCGGATCCGGCGCGACTCTCTCTCTCTCTCCGTCTCCGTCACCAGGAGGCCGATTCAAGAAGGAGATCGTGGTCGACGGACAGAGTTACCTGTTGCTGATTCGCGATGAAGGCGGACCCCCCGAATTGCAGGTAAGCACCCATCCGTCGCCGCCGTCCGTCCGTCCGTCCCCCGCCGCGTCGGTTTCCCCCGGCACGCTGAGGCTCAGCTGCCAAGTGGACGCTCTCAGCCACCGTCATTCGGCCTCCCCTCCATCGGTTTCCCCCGGCGTAACGGGGCTCAGCCGCCAAGCGGACGCTCTCAACCACCGTCGTACGTCCGTCGCCCGCGTCGGTTTTCCCCAGCACAACAGGGCTCAGCCGCCAAGCGGACGCTCTCGGCTGCCGTCATTCGTCCCCCCCTCCCCACGTCGGTTTCCCCCGGCACAAAGGCGGACGCGCTCTTCTCGGCGGCTTACGGCGCTTGCTGGCGCCCGTCGCTGAGTCCTCTGCCTTCCGTCCCGCCTGCCAGTTTGCCGCCTGGGTGGATGCGGTGGTCTTCGTCTTCAGCCTGGAGGACGAGATCAGCTTCCAGACGGTCTACAACTATTACCTGCGGCTCTGCAGTTACCGCAACACCATGGAGGTGCCCATGGTCCTCGTTGGCACCCAAGGTAGGCCCAGCTGACCCGAAACAATGACCGCCGTTCGGACCAGGGAGGGCAGGGCGCGGGTGGAAAGAGACGACTTGAAACGAAGGGTGGGGAATGCGCCGGAAGAAAAAAAAAAAAGCGCAGGTACCGCTCGACAGGCCTTTGTCCGGCTGGATGTCGCCGGCCGGAAGGTGCCGGAGAGCCGTTTTGGTTGGCTTCCTGTCTTAGCGACGGCCGACGCTTTGGTCGGAACTCCGGGAGGATGGGAAGAGGCCCGGTACCGGGACTTTGGGTCCGGCCCGGTTTTTGGGGGCGGGATCCGGCACTGATCTGGCTCCGAACGGGGCGGCAGGAAGACGCTGGAGAGGGAGGGAGGCGGTTCGGTTGGAGTTCGCGGCTGATTGTCCACGTAGCAACCGGTCGTAAAAAAGGCAGCAACCAGGTCGTACGAACTGGTGGGAAACCGCTCCGATGCTTTAAAAAGCCGCAGGGTGGAGAGCGACCACTGTGGTTGCAACTGGACGTAAAAAGGGAGCAACGGGGTCGTTCCAACCGGTGTGAAACCATTCCGATGTCTTAAAATGCCGCACGGTGGAGAGCCACCACTGTGGTTCCCGCCCGCCATTTTTCCTCCTCCTCCCCCTCGGGGAGGGCGGAGCCCGTTGTAAATGTAGCAACCAGACGTGAAAACGTAGCAACCAGGTTGTTCGAATTGGTGTGAACCACTCTGATCCCTTAAAATGCCGGCCCGTGGAGAGCGACCACCGTGGTTGCAACTGGACGTAAAAAGTTAGCAACGGGGTCGTACAAACTGGTGTGAAACCGCTCTGATGCTTTCAAAGGCCACGCAGTGGAGAGCGACCACCGTGGTTCCCGCCCGCTATTTTTCCTCCTCCTCCTCGGGGAGGGCGGAGCCCGTTGTAAACGTAGCAACCGGACGTAAAAAATGTAGCAACCAGGTCGTTTCAAGCAGTGTGAACCACTCCGATGCCTTAAAATGCTGGCCGGTGGAGAGCAAACACCGTGGTTGCCACCATATGTCGTCCTCCTCTTTCTCCTCCTCGGGGAGGGGCGAGTCCGTTGTAAACGCAGCAACCGGACGTAAAAACGTAGCAACCGGGTCATTCCAACCGGTGTGAACTGCGCCGATGCTTTCAAAGGCCGGCCCGGTAGAGAGCGACCACCATGGTTCCCGTCCACCATTTGTCGTCTTCCTCTTCTTCCTCCTCCTCCAGACGCCATCAGCGCCACCAACCCCCGGGTGATCGACGACTCCCGCGCCCGCAAGCTCTCCAACGACCTGAAGCGTTGTACCTACTATGAGACATGCGCTACCTACGGGCTGAATGTGGAGCGCGTCTTCCAGGACGGTACGACGGTGATGGCGACGATGGCGGGAAGGAGGGGAGGAGAGGAAGAAAGGGGGGGAGGGGAATCCTTGTCACCGGCGGGCCGGGACACCCCAGTCTCAACGCCCTCCGCCCCCCCGCACTCTTCTCCACCCCATTTCCACCCCGTAGTAGCCCAAAAAGTGGTGGCCCTGCGGAAGAAGCAACAGCTGTCCATCGGGCCGTGCAAGTCGTTGCCGAATTCGCCCAGCCACTCCTCTGTCTCGGCCGCTTCCGTGCCCACCGTCCACATCAACCAGGTGAGGCGGGGTGGGGCGGGGCGGGGGGGAGGGCGCGGAGGAGGAGCGGTTTGTTCGGACCGGCGGCGCAGCTTCCAGGCGCCACAACGTCCCTGTCGCGGTCTCAGGATCGATTCGGACTATCTTTTGGCTCCCTGGTTCCTTCGCGTGGCGATGGGACGGAAGCGGTAGGACAGAGAACGGGGAGAGGGAGAGAGAGGCGGTTAAGGCAGGAGTCGCCCGAGAGCCACCGGAAAACCGCCCTGTTTCATTCGGGAGCTCACCCGACCCGTCGCGCAGTGTCCTTTTTCCATCTTCCTGTCCGCGACGAAAGACGCAATCTGTTTCGGGGAGCCGACGGGCAACAGGGAGTCACAGCTGCAGGTGGCTCCAGAGCCGCCGGGTGGCCAACTTCCGCTCAGGAGTCCTGATGTGTTTTGGGACGTCCTGCCGGAGTTGTTCTCCTCGGGGTGAGTCGAGCGGACAACCCGCTCCTGGGCACAGCATCGTCCTCCGCCAAAACCGCCACCGTGTTGCCGACTAGCAAGTGGGATGAAAGAGCCCCATGCACCTCTGGAGCCCCCAAGATGGCCGATTCCTGCGTTTAGGGAGAGGAAAAAGGAGACTGGGACGTGATTTCGGAGGGCCGCCACCGAGTTGCCGACTAGCAAGACGGACGAAAGAGCCCCATGCGGCTCCAGAGCCCCTAAGATGGCCGATTCCTGCGTTTAGGGAGGGGGGAAGAAGGAGACAGGAGCGAGATTTGGGTGGGACGCCACCGCGTTGCCAACTAGCTAGAGGGACGAAAGAGCCCCATGCGGCTCCGGAGCCCCCAAGATGGCCGATTCCTGCGTTTAGGAAGGGGGGAAAAGGGAGACAGGGACGAGATTTGGCGGGCCGCCACCACGTTGCCGACTAGCGAGAGGGACGAAGGAGCCCCATGCGGCTCCGGAGCTCGCAAGATGGCCGATTCCTGTGTTTAGGAAGGGGAAAAAGGAGACAGGGACGAGATTTGGGTGGCTCACTGGACAGGTGATCCACGCGGGACTGACGGGCGGGGCCGCGCCCCCTTTTTTTGTCTCCGCCCAGGCCGCCAACGGGGGTGGGGCCTTCAGCGACTACTCCTCCTCGGTCCCGTCCACGCCCAGCATCGGCCAGCGGGAGCTGCGGATCGAGACCATCGCGGCCTCCAACACCCCCACCCCCATCCGTAAGCAGTCCAAGCGCCGGTCCAACATCTTCACAGTGAGTCCTGCGCGGCGCGGGAGGCGCGGAACGGGGGGCGGGGCGCGGCGGGTAATGCCCCCAAATTCGGCCACCCTGTCCCCGATGGTCCAGCCGAGAGGAGCCGCCAAGTGGGGGACGGTTTCGGACTCCCGTCTCCCGCCGGGGTGGATGAAGCGGGCGGGGGGGGTCCCCCGAAATCGGAATTACGAGGCGGCGATGGCGGGGGGGAGGAGAGGGGAGCCACTCTCCCCTCCCCAAGTCGGTCTTCTCCCCCCTCCCAAATTCCCGTCCCTCCTTTGCAGTCTTCGCTCCCCGAGTTTTACGGCGGGGCGGAAGGACTCCGGCGGGACGTCGGGCGGGCCGGAACGGGGGTTCGGGGGTGGGGAGAGGAGCCTTGAAGAGAAGGGGAGGGGAGGGGTTTTTCCAGCCCTTAAGGAGCCCCTCCCCACCTAATCCGTGACCAACTCCCGCCCGTAGTTACGGCGTCCGAGCGAGACGAGCTGGACAGATGAGTTTGGCGGACGGGGGAGAAGAGGGGAGGGAGGGTGAAAGACCCCTCCCTACTTGCGGGGAGGGGAGGGGCCTATCCAAACTAGATCCAGGAGGAAGCCCCCCCACCCCACCCCTCCCCTCTCCCCCGAGACGAGGATGAGCCCTCCCTCCGTGTTGCTTGCCCCCGCGCTGGGACCTTGGCTGAGCAGGAAAGACCCTCCCCCTTGGGGAGGGGGAGATGGGGAGGGGGAGATGGGGAGGGGAAACCCAACCCCCCTTTTCCTCTCTACAACGGGGAGGGGGAGGACCCACGGGGTGGGGAGGGCGCCTGGCCTCCATTTTGACTGTCCTCGTGTGAATGCGCTCCCCAGGCTTGGCTTCCGCGCTCTCCGTATTTTTTTTCGGGGAGGGGCTCGGCCTTCCTGCCCTCCCTCGCACGCCGTTTCCTCCCCCTCCCCCCCTCTTTTTTCCCCTCCCTCCCTCCCTCTGCCTCCTCCCCGTCCCCGTCCTCCCCGCCGCTCGTTCGCTCGCTCGCTCCGCTTGCGCAGGGGGATGGGGAGAATGGCTTTGGCGCGGCCCCACCAACCCTCGCTTCTCCACGACGTCGCCGGACGCCCGGGTGGAACCAGGGGGGACTCCGGTGGGGGGGGGGAGGGTTGGACGCTTCAGGGCTGGTCGTAACTAGGGGAGCGGGATTCAGGGATAGCGTCCGGTTTGGGCAGGGACGGGACGGTTCATCTCTGGTCATAACTAGGGGACGGGGATTCAGGGATAGTGTCCTGTTTGGGGAGGGAGGCGAGGACGCTGGTCATAACTAGGGGACGGGGATTCAGGGATAGTGTCCAATTTTGGGAGGGTCGGGACGGTTCATCGCTGGTCATAACTAGGGGATGGGGATTCAGGGATAGTGTCCATCTTGTAGACGGAGGGGACGCTTCATTGCTGGTCATAAGTAGAGGATGGGGATTCAGGGATAGCGTCCATCTTGCAGACGGGGGGGACGCTTCATGGCTGGTCATAACTAGGGTACGGGGATTCAGGGATAGCGTCCAGTTTGGGGAGGGAGGGGACGCTTCATCGCTGGTCATAACTAGGGGACGAGGATTCAGGCATAGCGTCCAGTTTGGGGAGGGGAGGACGCTTCATTGCTGGTCATAACTAGGGGACGGGGATTCACACCCAGCGTCCGGCTTCTCGCGGCTGAGTTCCTCCTCCATCCTTCCTCGCTCCTCGTTGCTTGCTCCTCCTCCTCGCACGACGACGGCGGGGGTGAATCCCGGCCAGCAGGGGGAGCCCCACGCCCGCTTTCTCCCCCCCGCCCCGCCCGTCGCTACCGCAACCCCCCTCCCCTTCCCTCCCCCTCCCTCCGCTTCGCTCCCGACGACGACGACGGCCCGGCTTTCTAACCCCGCCCCTCCCGTCTCTCGTCTCTTCTCTCGCCCCATTTTGCAGATTTGCGGCAAGGTTCCCGGCTTTACGTCCACCCAGCGGCCTTTCCGGGGCCTTCCGCGGTAGACGAGACGGTCCCCCCTGCCCCCTCTTACTCCTCCTACTCACTCCCTACTACAACCCCCCCTCGGCTTTCCTCCGGCTTTCCGTTACCAATCTCTCTCTCTCTCCCCTTCTCGTTGCTCTGCAGGGCCGGATCCGGGGCAGGCACTGGGAGTGAGTCCCGCTTAGTGACCTGCCCCGACGCCCGCCTGCTCGCACCGCCCGCCTGCCTGCCTGCCTACTCGCTCGCTCGGGTCCCCCTTTCCGCGCAGGAGAAATCTCCCCCCTCCCTCTCCTCTCCTCTCCCTCCTCGCCCGCCGTAAAGGCCTCCGAGCCGCTGCGCTTTTATGCCGAAAATCCTCGCCGAGACGGAGGCGGCACCTGCAGAACGACGGACAGACGGACAAACGGGGATCCCCGCCCCGCCCGGAGACGGAGGAGGGGGGTCCGAGGGACGCTTGGCTGTGGTGTTTTTTTTTTCCACCCCTCCCGCCGGCGCGGCCGCTACTCTTCGCTCTCGTTTTTTGTCCTCCTCTTCCTCCTTTCCCGCTCCCTCCCGCATGGAACTTTCTTCGTCTTCTTCCTCTTCTTCTCCGAGCGAAGCCGACGTCGTCTCCTCCTTCCGTCGGAGCTCGTCCATCTGGCACTGACCCCGCCCTGCCCCGCCGACCGGGTCCGGAGTGGATGGACGGACGGACGGATGGGTGGAGGGCGGGGGAGAGGACGGGCCGGACGAGGGAGCGCCTCCCGCTGCCGTTGGTGTTTGGTTCTGACTGTCCAATCGATTGTACTCCGTGATTTCTTGCGCGCGAATCCTTTCTCTCTCTCTATCTCTCTTTCTCTCTCTCGCTTTGCCGTTGGTGTTTGGTTCTGACTGTCCAATCGATTGTACTCCGTGATTTCTTGCGCGCGAATCCTTTCTCTCTCTCTATCTCTCTTTCTCTCTCTCGCTTTCTTTCTCTCTATTGTGCCGAAACGCCGTCACAAAGTGGACTGTACATCCCCGGCTTTATTTATGGACTCATTTATTTATTGGTGATGACTTTGATTCCTCTGTCTCTTCTCTTCCTCTCTCTCTCTTTTTCCCACTCTCTCTCTCTTTCCCTCCCTCCTCCTCTCTCACGTTTCCTCCCTCTTTCTTCTCTCTCTTCGCTCCCTCTCTTTTACTCTCTCTCTCGTTCCCTCCCTCTCTCCTCTCTCTCGTTCCCTCCTCTCTCATTCTTTCCCTCCTCTCTTTCCCTCCCTCTCTCATCCCCTCCCTCTCTTTCCCTCTCTTTTCCTCTCCTCTCTCGTTCCCTCCCTTTCTGTTTCCCTCCCTCCTCTCTCTTTCCCTCCCTCCTCTCTCTTTCCTTCACTCTCTTTCCCCCTCTCTCTTGTTCCCTCCCTCTGTACCCTCTCTCTTTGCCTCCCTCTCTTCTCTCTTTCCCTCCCTCTCTCTCTCCTTCCCTCCCTCTCTCCTCTCTCTCTCTCTCTTTCCCTCCCTCTCTCCTCTCTCTCTTTCCTTCCCTCTCTTTCCCTCTTTCTCTTGTTCCCTTTCTCTCTCCTCTTTCTTTCCCTCTCTCTTTCCCTTCCCCCTCTCTTTCCATCCCCTCCCCCTCTCCTCTCTCTCTCCCTCCTCTCTCTCTTTCCCTCCCTCTCCCTCTCTTTGCCTCCTCTCCTCTCCCTCTCTGCCTCCCTCTTTCTTTTCCTCCCTCTTTCTCTCCCTCCTCTCTTGTTCCGTCCCTCTCTCCTCTCTTGTTCCCTCCCTCTCTCCTCTCTCTTTCCCTCCTTCTTTCCCTCTTTCTTTTCCTCTCCTCTCTCTCTCATTCCCTCCCTCTCTCTCTCTGTCTTTCCCTCCCTCTCTCCTGTTCCCTCCCTCTCTCTTCTCTCTCTTTCCCTCCCTCTCTTTCCCTCTCTCTTGTTCCCTTCCTCTCCCCTCTCTTTCTTTCCCTCTCTCTTTTCCTCCTCTCTTTCTTTCCCTCCTTTCTCTCTCTCTCTCTCTCTCTCCGTCCTCCGCCTCTTCCGAGTGTAAAGCAAAGCTGTTTCGTGTCGATGCTTCTCTCTCTCTCTCTCTCTTTTTGTAAACCCCGACCTCCGCGACAACAACTTTGTAAAGTGCCACTTGTGTTTCGCCCAATAAAACGGTTGGACCGAGGAAGGCCCTGGTGCTGTTCTTTCTGGCTTTTGGCCCCTCCCTCCCACCCTCCCTCTCCTCGCCGTTGGACCCCCTCCAAAAAAACCCCTCCCTTGGCCGCTGCTTTCTCGCACCCATCCCATCCCGCTCTCCTCGGCCTCTCGTCCCGTGGACTCATATCGCGTGGACGAGGGGTTGGAGTGTGTGTTTGTATGTGTGTGTCTCATCTGGGCTGTCCCCGGAAAAACGAGAGGGAGCGGGCAGGGTGGGTGGGCTCCCCCTCCCCGTTTCTCCCCCCCAACCCCTCCCTACCACCGGCCCCTAACCTCCCCCCCACGCCCCGGGGAGGGGGGAGGGGGGCGGGGCTTAATGCTCACCTGTCTCTTCCTTCTCTTCCAGTCTCGGAAAGGCCCCGAAATCGATCGGAAACCCCCCGAGAGTAAGGCGGACATGATTGGCAGTGGGCGGGCCATCCCCATTAAGCAGGTTGGCATTGCTCTCCCCTCCCTCTTCTCCTCCCCCCACCCCACCCCGGTCCTCCTCCAAACACCCTCCTCCCCACCCCCCGGGGCGGGGAGTCGCGGGGAGGGGCGTCTCGGCCGGTTTCTCCATGCGGTGTTGTTTGCGTTGTCCCGTCTGCGTTCGCCTCGGTGTGCGGTGCGCTCCGGCGGGTGACAAGGCCACGGCGGGCACCGTCGCCGATCCCCCCCCCCTTTCATCCTGCTTTGCTTTGCTTTCATGGAGGGGAGGGGAGGGGAAGGGAGGGGAGGGGGAGGCCCCGGCGGGCTGGGGTCTTTCGCCGTCCTGGACACACAGGAGGGAGGGAGGGAGGGGAAGAGACGGAGGGAGGGGGAGAGAGAGGGAGGGAGGGAGAGGGAGAGGAGGAGGGAGGGAGGGACAGAGACAGGGAGAGGGAGAGAAAGAGAGAGGGAGAGGAGGAGAGGGGGAGGGAAAGAGACGGAGAGGGGGAGAGAGAGGGAGGGAAAGGGGCAGAGGAGGAGAGAGGGAGGGAAAGGGAGGGAGGGAAAGAAAGGGAGAGAGAGAGAGAGAGGGAGAGGAGAGAGGAAGAGACAGAGAAGGGAGAGGAGGAGAGCGGGCCGGCCCCTCCCTCCCCCTCTCTTTCTTCTCTCTCCTCCCCTCCCGGTTGCGCTGTCCTCCATCCAAAGCGGGGGGGGGGG